GTTCCCGCTTGACTTGACCTGCGCCGCGCCGCTTCGTGCGCGGCCGTGACGCCAAAATGTCGCGCGCGCGTGTGTGTGTGTGTGTGTGTGTGTGTGTGTGTGTGTGTGTGTGTGTGTGTGTGTGTGTGTGTGTGTGCGGGTGTGTGTGCGGGTGTGTGTGTGTGTGTGCGTGTGTGTGTGTGCGTGTGTGTGCTTGTTTGTCTGTCTGTGGATTGCAATGTCGTGTGTAGTTGTCACGCTGTCGTGCATGGATCCTGCATTTTCCACGTGCCTTTGCCTCGGCCCTCCTTTTTCCTGCACGCGTCAGCTACGTTTTGACGCCCTGACACCCGCTGGCAGACACTTGGCGCAACCCAGTCAACCCAGGCGTGTCCCGTCTTGTCATTCGATGCGCTGGATCAGCTGTGTGTGTATGTGTGCCTCTTTCTTCTGGACTCCCGCACCTGCAACGTCAGATGGTCGTTGAGCTATGCGTGCTCCGCCCGAGTGCTCGCTGTGGTGCTGTGGCCTGGCCGCTGGAGGAAAAAGTGTATGTGTGCGTTTGCGTGAGAGAGGGTATTTGTACGTGTGTGTGTGTGGATAGCACGACTGGGGTCATGACCTTTTCCGCACTGCATGCGCCCTGCATGTTCTTTCAACACGTCCCCTGGACCCCCCTCGTCCGCGCACATGCCTCTGGCTATGATGCGTTGGCCCCACTCGTCCTGGCTCCCCTCTTCGGCGCACCCGACTGTGCTGCTCACTTCTTGTCACTTAGAAGGACCGCCTATTAAGAGCGGCGAGGGGCAGCGAGGGCGCTGGGCGCGATCTGGCTTGAGCGCGCCCGTGTTCTGATCGCCAAGATTCTCAGATCACATCTACAATTTTCAAATTTTGATTCTGAATAATTCACATTGTACTTTCTTTACGTTCGGGCTTCCACAGCGCTGATTGCCGCGCTTTTTCCACACGAATGAGTCGGGTTTGAATTGGTCTTGCGTGTGAGCCTGTCGCTGGCACTACAAACTTTCCATGTCGCCCTAGAGAAGTATTCGTGAACCAGGCTCTTTGTGGTGGTTTGGGTGGTCAGCTTCATCTTGTACATAATGGTTCCGGATTTTGACCACGGCATGCGCAAGCGGTGATAGTTACAAGTGCGGGGATACAGTTCATCTGTCGAATGAAAAAGTGCATATGTAACCTTCACAAGAACCCATCAGTAGCCAAGCAACCTCTGGACAGCGCGGCACAGCCCCCCCGCACGATCCCAGTCGAATCTAGGCGGCCACCCGACAGTTCGGCTCAGTCATCTGCAGGAACCCATCAGAAGCCAATTGGCCAACAGGCAGTGCGACACAGCCGGAAATTGGAACCCACCGGAAGTCAATCGGCCTCCAGACAGCGGCACAGCCGCCGATAGGAGTCCATATGAGCCTAGGCGGCCACTGGACAATACGGCACAGTCACCCGTAGGAGCCCATAGGAATCCAAGCGGTCACTGGACAGTGCGGCATTTTGGGTTGCGGCCGCAAGCGAAGGCGCAGGCGGCGTCAAGGGTCGACCTGGGCTACGGGCGGAACCTAATTACCCAGCAACCGCACTCACGGCTGCCAAAGCTGCCGCCGAGGGAAGCTGAGCGGCGCCGAGGGCTGAAGGCAGGCTGCAGGAGCTGCCAGGAGTGCCAGGCGGCCGAAGTGCAGCCATCCCAGAGGCGAGACCACCGGGAAGACGAACGAATTGTACCTTGTCGCGTCAGGCGCCAGAGGACAGTGCGGCACAGCCAGCCAAAGGAATCCACAGGAATTAATAGGGACCCAAGCAGCCACCGGACAGTGTGGCACAACGGTCCAGATCTTCAGATCACAAGTAAGAACCCCTCAGTGAAAATATTTGATCGCTTCGCTCATTCCGCAAGCCCATATTCTCTTATCTCTGCTAATCATAAACAGAGGGCTCGTGCGGAGTGCGGAACCGCAGGGAGGTCATCCAGGTTTTTTTTGAGATGTCGTGGGGCTTCTGGGGAGTCCTCTTGGGAGGCTCTTGGGGGCTCCTTGGGGTAGTATTTTGGGGCTTCTGGGAGCTTCTTGGGGCCCTGCTGGCGATCTTGTGAGCGATCTCGCCGGAAAGGGCCAGACATAGTAGCTCGGAGTACCGCTCTTGGGGTCTTCTGGGAAGCCTCTGGAACCGTGTTGAGGAGCCTTGTGGGCTGTCTTTCAGCGCTCTGGGGCCGTCTTGGGCTCATCTTACGGCATGTTGGGCCGTCTTGGGGCGATTTTCAGGACCTCCCATGTCGAACGTTGTGAAACCTCAAAAGTCGAATGGGGCGATTTGTGCTTCATGGGGCCCTCTTGGAGAGCCTCTTGAGGCTCTCTCGGGGCTTCTGGGCTGCCTCTAGGGCTGTCTGGAGGCCATCTTGGGCGTCTTGGAACGATCTTTCGGCGACTCGGGGCCCTGCGGACCGTCTGGGGGGCGTCTTGGGCGCTCTGGGGGACCTTGCGGGGACCTTGCCGGGATCTCCCAGGTTTCGGCCAGGGTATTTTTCGTTCTGGGACTCCCAGGGGCCGCCACGTGTGCGCGAACTAGAAATTGCGTGTGTGTGTGGAGATCTTAGCACGCCCCTGGCCCGTTGGGCCGGCGAATTAGTCGGGTATCCTCTGGGTGTTGGAATCAGGGCCACTTGGGCTTCGGTAGCGGTGCAGGGTTCTGAAGGTCCTTCCCCTTGTTTTTGTATCGAACGCTCGGGCGCTCCTCGCCAGCTTTGGCGAGACTGGGGCCAAAATGGGGCCTCGTTCCTTCTTGGACGTTCCAAATGGCAAAACCATGACTCTACATAATTGTGGGTGATTGTGACTATCAAGTTTGCTGGACACAGGTACCAAACAGACACATGCGAAGCACACATCAGGCCACGATCAGGGCAAGCCCGATCCGTTTTCAAGCAAGTCGCGAGGTGTTTCAATTTGAACGCGCTCAGGCTTGCAAGAGCTCCCCCCGTCCTGCCCTGCCCTCTCCCAAAACATCCCGCGGCTGGATTGTTTCGAGACTTGGCCCCCCCAGGCCTCTCGACCGCTTCCCCGGGGGCAAGCTTCTCAGTCCGAGCGTTTTTTCGTTGATGGCTTCTGCATAGTTATCCGAAGTACCAACGGTACAGAATGAGAGACATGGTCGGCACGGTATGGCGTATCTTCGCAGGTCGGCACGGTACGGCATTTTTTCGCAGTCTGAAAACCAGACGACACTGCACGGCAATTTTTCCCCATATTGACACCAGGCACGGCACGGCACAACACGGCACGGGCACGCAGACACGGCACGGCACGGCGCGGCACGGGCACGCAGACACGGCACGGATGTTTTGTCTGTTTTCTGGAAGCCAGACACGGGACGACACAGCACGGCTCGGCACGGCCAGGCAAGCGGGCAGGGCACGGCACATCACGCGGGCGGCTAGTTTTATTTTGATCTGGGAACTGGTCACGGCACGGCGCACGAGCACGGCATGGCACGCGGGCGGCACGCGGGCGGCAATTTCCCCACTCAGAGCTTGCCCCTGTAAGGGGTCCTCGCAGATTCCTATGGTTAGGGCCAGCTTTGCCGCCGATTTCCGCGGCCCGCCTGGGTGCCCGGGTGCCCGGGTGCCCAGGTGCTGGGATGCCCGGGTGCCTTATAGCCCTAGAGCCCTATAGCCCTATAGCCCCATAGCCCTCTAGCCCTATAGCCCTATAGCCTTATAGCCCTATCGCCCTATAGCCCCATAGCCCAATAGCCCTCTAGCCCCATAGCCCAATAGCCCTATAGCCCAATAGCCCAATAGCCCTATAGCCCAATAGCCCTATAGCCTTATAGCCCTATCGCCCTAGAACCCTATAACTCTATAGCTCTATAGCCCTGAACCCCTACAGCCCTATAGCCCTATAGCCCTATAGTCCTATAGCCCAATAGCCCCGCCAGCCCTATAGCACTATAGCCCTATAGCTCTATATGCCTATAGCCCTATAGCCCTCTAGCCCCATAGCCCTATATCCCAATAGCCCTATAGCCCTATGTTCCTATAGCCCTTTAGGCCCATGGCACGGCACGGCACACGAGCTTGGCGCGGCACGGTACGTGGGCGGCAATTTTTGCGGCCTGCTCTCTTCTGGCAAGCCCTCTGATGTTCTCGGCGCAGGCCCGCGGGCGAGACGCGACGAGGATACCACTTAGGCCTCCCAGATGGGTTCCGAGCAGGTGGGGTCGGATGATTGCGCCGCATCGCGGATGCATTGGCGATGCGGCTCGATGCAGAGCTCGATTGTCTCCACGCCGATAGCGCCAGCACATCGCCGACGTCGCCAGTGCATCGCCAATGCATCGCCAATGCATCGCCGGTGCATCGCTGGCTCGCCTCCCCGTCTGTCCTGGGGGGTCGGCACAGGGGTCGTTCTTATTACTCAGGGGGCACAGGCGCGGCCAGGGGGAACGCCTCGGCGCGGACCCCAGGAGAAAGCAATCGAAGACCAGAAATCACCACATAAACATATGTTCTCGGAGATCCGCGCGGAACTCCGAAAGATCATGCAGGCTGTTTCTGTGCTCCGAGGAAGGGGGGCGGCTGCGTGCTCCCGTATTCTGTGGAGTTTCGTACCATCTTCGTTTTTTCCTCAAGCGGTGCCTGAATTCAGCTCGGGGTTCTTGAGGAGGAGGAGGAGGAGGAGGAGGAGGAGGAGGAGGAGGAGGAGGAGGAGGAGGAGGAGGAGGAGGAGGAGGAGGAGGAGGAGGAGGGAGGAGGAGGAGGAGGAGGAGGAGGAGGGGGGGGGGCGGCCCTGCCTGGGGGGAGCTCTCACCTCTCCTGCTGGGCGCACTGGACGGGTACGGTGGGGCTTCGGCTGGTGGCCGCCCGTGGGCGTCTCCTGGGCGCCCCCGTGGCCGCCCGTGGCCGCCCGTCGGCGCCCCGTGGCCGCCCGTGGGCCCCCCGGGTGGCCGCCCCGTGGCCGCGGGGGGGGCGCCCCGTGGGCGCCTCGTGGGCGCCACGTGTCGGCTCCACACGCCACGGGGGCGCCTCGGGGGCGCCGCGGGGGCGCCTCGGGGGGCGCCTCGGGGGGCGCCTCGGGGGGCGCCTCGGGGGGCGCCTCGGGGGGCGCCTCGGGGGCGCCGAGTGACCCTTCGCCGGAGGGACTCCCGGGTGCAGGCTCAGCGGGGCGCCCCTGATCGCTGAGCGCGATGCGATGGCGGCTGCTTGCGCGCCTGGATTCGGCCACTTTGCGCCCCCATCCGCGCACCAAGGGTCACTCTTGCCCAGGGTCGCTCTTGCGTGTAGCCGAACATAGTTCAGGCCATCTAAACATGGCACCGCCTAGTTTGCACAGCGCAGGTTGCACCACGAAGCGTCCACCACATAGCTTGCACCGTATGGCTTGCACCACGTAGGTTGCACCACGCAGCTTGTACCACATCACATAGCTTTCACCGCGTAGCTTGCTTCACATAGCTTGCACCGCATAGCTTGCACGGCATTGCTTACACCAGATAGCTTACACCAGATAGCTTACGCCACACAGCTTGTACCACGTATATTGCACCACACAGCTCGCACTACATAGCTTGCACCAAATAGCTTACACCACGTAGCTTGCACCGCACAGCTTGCGCCACTTAACGTGCACTACGTAGCTTGCACCGCACAGCTTGCACCACGTAGCGTGCACCGCATAGCTTGCACCACATGTCTTGCGCTGCGTATATTGCACTACACAATTTTCACCACAGAGCTTGCAACACATACCTCGTGCCACATAGCTTCCACAACATAGCTTGCACCACGTAGCTCATACCACATAGTTTGCACCGCCTAGCTTGCACTACATAGCTTGCACCACACCGCTTAACTTACACCGCAGAGCTTGCTCCACGTACGTTGCACCATTTTGCTGACATCACATACCTTGCACAGCATAGCTTGCACATCCACAGTGCAACACCTTTTCTGTTTGGGGTCCACGCTGGCAGACAGTTCGTTTAGGTGTTTTCGGTTTTTCTTTCAGATTTCTGCGGTCTATGTGGCTTCGGGGCAGGTTATGATGATTTTGGTGGTTGGTTTGGTGGGGCCCGCGGCCCCCCTTGTATCTACCAATCTTGACTCCAAATGGAAGGTTGCGGAGCACAATTGTGAGAACGATGGGCGTGCAAGTAATCTGGCACACTCTTCTATTCAGACTGCGCGCGCCTTGACTACTCCACGATGCTCTGCTCTACTCCTACTTGGTGCCCTGCTCGGTTCGACTCTATTCCTCTCTACTCCTTTCTACTCCTCTGTGCTCCACTCTACTCTTCTCTACTCCGCTCTACTCTGCTCCTCTCTGCTCCTTTCTTCTGCAATCTGCCCTGGCCTGGGTTCGAGGGCAAATGTCGCATCCTGCCCCAACACCCGCCCCCCCCTGGCCCTAAACCCAGCCCTGCGCCGCCCTGGGCCTTCAACTTGTCCGATTTGCGCCGCCCCTCCCGCCCACGCCTCCCAAAAGCTCCAAGGCTGCGCTGGCGGTGGTGGCCCAAGCGGCGACTCAGCGGAGCAAGCAGCAGGTGCCGCCGTTGCCCGCGACTCGGGGACAGGGGGCCATGAGAAGGGACACAGGAGGGACTGGGCCGCGAAAGAGTCTAGGGAGGGGTAATATCCAAGCTCTCGTTGGGACCCCGTCGTCTGCAGCACGCCGCATTGCCTCGCTGGCGCGCCCGAGCAGCACGCCTGCACCAGAGGTGCTACACCCGTCTGGCCCCTCCCGGGAAGTACGCCCTGGCGTCAGCAGGGCCCGCACACAGTAGAATCCTCTGGTGTGTGCAAGTGGTACTTCCTAGTGCATGTCTGCACTTCGCCCTAGTACCTCTGGAGCAGATAAGCTCACTTGTAACTGTTTCGTCTAGTGTCCGGCTGCCTGCGGCAGACCCCGCCACCGTGCCACCGCAGAAGCGCAGCGGGCAGGAGGTTGAGTCGACGGCCTGCTTCAGTGCAGTGGCCTGTCCGAGCTGTCGAGGGTCTGGAACAATTGCTCCTGGTCCAAAACTAGGTCATCCTCCTGCTTCCTTCTCTCCTTCCTTATCCCTGCTCCTCCTCCTCCTCCTCCTCCTCCTCCTCCTCCTCCTCCTCCTCCTCCTCCCCCTCCTCCTCCTCCTCCTCCTCCTCCTCCTCCTCCTCCTCCTCCTCCTCCTCCTCCTCCTCCTCCTCCCTCTCACTCTCACCTCTTGGAAGCATCTTGGAGTTTTCCTAGGGGGCTTCTTTGGGGCTTCTCGGGGGCCCCCCTGGGGACCTGTTGGGGGCCCGTTGGGTCGTCTCGGGCCCGTCCTGGACGTCATGTTTCAACCGAGCCACGTCGGAGCTCCGTTGAGCCATCTTGGGGGCGGTAGGCAGAACGCTCCGGAAGCAGCAACCCATGGTCCTTCCTTCTCCTCCTCGCGACTCCCTGGGGGACTGCGAAATGCGAAACTGTCGCCACTTCCGGGGGCTGGTCTGGCGGAGTGGGGGGCCACGCAGACCCAGCCGAGACCACGCGGTTCTGTGCGCGCGGAGGGGAGCTGATTCGCACTGCGGGTCCTTCGTTTTGAGCGGTCCTGGGTATAGCCGCCACATGTTTAGAAAGAGTTGGGTACATCGTAGGGTATTTTTTTCCCCGGACCCCTTGCGCTGGGTTCTCGTTGTTGAACTGAGAACTGCTTGCTCCAAGCTCCTTCTTTACTTCATTCCTTCCGCCTCCTCCCTCCTATCTCCTGCTTGCCGCTTCCTGTCGGCATGCTTCCTGCCTCCTTCGTGTCGCTCACTCGCCCACTCGCCACTTTCACGAGCTCTTGGAGGCCCAGCGGAGGGGGGGTGTACGCAGACCCAGACGAGACCTCGCGGCTCCCTTGGCGGGCCGCCAACTGCACAACCGTCATCATTTTCGTGGGCTCCTGAGGCTCTGTATGGGAGCCTTGTATGGGAGCCTCGTATGGGAGCCTTGTACGTCTTCGAAATTTAGTCTTTGGAGTGCACTTGCGTGCGCTAGCATCTGGCATTCGATGAGAAAGCGCCGACTTAGCGTCGAGTAGCGCCGATCTATTGTAATTTAGCGTTGATTAGCGTCGGAGAGCGTCGATTCGCAAGAGCCAGCAAGATGGCATGGGAGGCTCCCATGGGTTGCCACCGAAGGAGTAGAGCTGTGCGCAGACCCAGGCGAGACCTTGCGGCTCCCTGGGAGACTGCCAAATGCGCAATTGTCGTCACTCTCGTGGGCTCCTGGGAGATGCAGCGGAGTGGGTGTGTAAGCATACCCTGACGAGACCTCACGGCTCCTTGGGGGGGGGAGCGCCACTTGCGCAGTTGTCGTCGTTTTGGTGGGCTCTGGGGAGGCCCAGCGAAGTGGGGCTGCACGCAGACCCAGACGAGACCTCGAGACTCCCTGGTGGGTTGCCAACTGCACAACCGTCGTCCTTTTCGTGGGCTCCTGAGAAGCCCAGCGGAGTGGGGGTGTACGCAGGCCCAGACTAGACCTCATGTCTCTGCCAATTGCCCAACAGTCGTCACTTTGGTGGGCTCTTGGAATCTCCAGCGGGGTGGGGGGGTGTACGCAGATCAAGACGAGAGCTCATGTCTCTGCCAGTTGCGCAACTGCCATTTTTGTCGGCTCCTGGGGTTTCCAGCGTAGTCGGGTTGCGAGACCTCATGGCTCTCTGGTGGACTGCCAACTGCCCAACTGTCGTGATTTTGGTGGGCTCCTGGGAGGCCCAGCGGATTGGTGGTGGGGTTGTGCACAGACCCAGACGAGACCTCACGGCTCCTTGGGGGGCTGCCAAATGCGCAAGGGTCGTCGCTTTCGTGGAGGTCCAGCGGAGTGGGGGTGTATGCAGACCCAGACGAAACCTCGCGGCTCCCTGGGCGGGCTGCGAATTGCACAACTGTCGTCACTTTGGTGGCTCCTGGGAGGTCCAGCGGAGTGGGAATGTATGCGGATGCAGACGAGACCTCGCGGCCCCCAGGGGAGCGACGACTGCCCAGTGCTCTTGGGAGGCCCAGCGGAGTAGGGGCTCACGCAGATCCAGATGAGACCTCGCGGCTCTCTGGGGGCGTTGAGTGTGGTACGACGCTGTTTGGCAATACTTTCGAGAGTGCTGCAGGTCTCAATCTGTTCTTTTTGTATGGAGAGCTCCTATTGATATCCGGCTCGCGTTTAGAAGGGGTTGGGTACGTCTCTGGCATTTTTTGGGGGGCTGCCTCCTGGGGCCTCGCTGGAGGCCTCTCTTGGTGTCTATTGTGGTCTTTTTGGGACCTCTTTGGGACATGTTGGAGCTTCTGGGGGATCGTTGGGCCGTCTTCGGCTGAGCTTCTGGGCATCTCTCAGCCGTCTTGGAGCGATCTTGGTTGGTCGTGGGGCTGTCCTACTACCTGTCGTGCACGGCACTGGGGAGCACACGTTGGCAGTGAGGGTCTTCTACCTGGCTCTGCTGTCGGGTGCGGGCGGTCAGAGGAGGGGCAGGGAACACCGCCACGGACACCCAGTGCAGGGCGACGCTCCGGCGTGCCACCGCCCAGGGGTCGATTTCCCCCCGACGGGTTCTCGGTGGCGGTGGTCCATGTGGGTCCTCTGGGGCTGGAGGTGGTCTGAGAAGAGTGAAGCCGGCCAGCGCGGTGACTAACACTATTCTAGCATTTTGCATCGTGCCGGCGCGGTGGCGGATTCAGGTGCAACCTCATCGCGAAATAAAAGGGACTCACGTGTCTGGATGAGGTTTTGCATGCGGACGACACCATGCTGGTAAGTGCAATCTCCCTGAAAGTTCAGCTTCTTGTGGACCTCACAATCAAGGTGGGCAAGCAATGCGGCCTTGACTTGAAATTGACCAAAACCTTGGTGATAAACATCAGTAGCGAAGTTGTAGTACGAGATCCTGCCATGCTGTATTCCGGTGGGCTATTGCACAGCAAAGCCGAAGTCAAACCAGAGTTGACGAGACGTTTGGGCGAAGCGCGAGGGCTTTTCAGAGCATTGGCCACATACTGGAACCGTACGAGTATGTCAAACCGCGGAAAATCCTCCTCTTTGACGCTATTTGGTTCTCAAGCTATTGTGCAATCTGGAGCCATTACGGTTATTACAAACAGACAGGGACAGGCTGGACAGCTTCCAAACATTCAGCCTTCGGAAAATATGTGGGATCCAACACGCGTGCTACTCCAGGGTGTCGATCGCCATTGTTCTGTCTGTAGCGCGGGCGGACCGTCTGAGTGGGACGCTGCGCAAGCGGCACGCGTACGCCTTTAGGAAAATATGCTCTCTGCCAGACAGTAGTGGTTTGTGAACCGGAAGCAACTGCACCAAAGCAGTGGCGTTTAGTCAGGAGACACGGCCGCCCCTAGCTGCAATGGGCCCGGTGCGTAAGTTATTGCAGTGAGTATTTAGCAGCAGCCGTCTATCTCGGTCCCCGAGTCGTCCTCGTCTTCCCCCCCCTCGTTCTTCCGCCTTTGCGTCCCAAGCTCGCGTGGCATTCAGATCCTGCTTCACAGTCGTGGGGCGCTCTGCGTTTCTGCTTCACTGTCGGGCTCTGTCATCTTGTGACGCAGTCCTGATACGTTCTTGCTTCTGCTTCACAGTCGAATCGTAGCGCCGTCTCTATGGTGTTATTTTCTGCCGAAGGGATGCAAATTGAGCACACTTCTGCCCACGCGTCCTGCTGGAAGCCCGGCTCAGTGGCGGTAGTGGTGCCCAAGCGCCGTGCCAAGAGCTGGCGCATGGCTTCTGTACTGTACATGTGTTTTGAAAACGTTCGACACAGCTGTTGAACATACATCTTGGCTTGCTTGTTAAACATGACGTCTCGGTCTACGTGAGGGTGCATTAGGCATCAGGCCCCGTAAGGACCCCTGCACGCAAACAAAACGACCCCACAAGCGAAGGAACTTCAACATATCGCCCCTGAACCCTACTCCTCCGCATAGGCGTGCAATGACAGCGCCTGGACGCGTGCGCGCTTCCTCCTTCGGCCAGGCGGGCCTCGTGGTCGTCGTGCCCCGCACCACTCGGTGTCTGTCTGTCTGCCTCCCCCTCTCTCTCAGTGTCCCTCGTCTGGACAGCGAACTTTCTGGTGCTCACCCTCCGTGCGGGCGCCCGGGTGTCGAGTAATGGGAGTGCTATAAATGGGGTGGGGGATGAACAAATATGTGTGTTCTTGCTTCAAAGGGACCCTACAGGGGCCCTATGGGGCCCAAAAGGGGCGCGCACGGTGCACCTCTCGCCCCCCCCATTTATCGCCCACCTGTTAGTCAACGCCCGAGTCTCTCTCTCTCTCTCTCGTCTGGACAGCGAGCCTCCCAGTGCTCACCCTCTGTGCGAGCGCCCGCGGCGCCCCCGGGGCCGGCGCTGACCCAACGCGGTGCGCGAGCCCGGGCCGCGCCCTGTCTGCTGTTGGGCCTTCATCTGTCTTCCTTATGAGCAGCTCCCCCTTGTCGTACCACCAGTCGAGTAGGGAATCGACCACATAATTGATTTACCCCATCTAGGTTTTCTCTTAGAGTGCTCCGTATATCTACGGAGCATTCTACGTATTGTGCTCTGGTTTCGACAGAAAAATCGATTTCTGGGTACATCGATTATGTAGTCGATCTCCTTCCTACCCGAGCCAGGAGTGCTTGCAATAGGGCGGGCCAGGTGTATCGTCTGAGGCTTTGCCACAACTGATGATCGTGATGTCCGAAGAAGACCTGCACGTACAGGCATGGCAGGCCGCCATCATGCCGGGTGGCTGCTGCTGCTGCTTCTTCGCTGCTCTCGCTGGAGACTTCCCCACATGCTTTCCGAGACAGCGCCTGCACAACTGCGGGGAGGACCTGGGCGTCACCGGGTTGCCTTCGTCATGCTCCGCGCCGCTCGGAGCGCACGGGCGGCACCTGGGCGTGGAGGGCGCAGGCAGACCCTGCACGGCCCCCACGATTTACCCTCGGAGCTCCGGAAGAGGCATCCCCCCTTCTGGCCCCCGAGGCCGTGTCCGAGCGAGTGAAAACTGAGGAGCGAAGACGCCTTTCTGGCCACGGCGAGTCTCGGCCACGATTGGATCCCTGACCTAGCTCGGAGAAACGGCCTCCAAACCAGAGCCCCTCCTGGACCCAAAGTGGTCCTGAATTCGGCGTCTTCACTGCCCCCTCCTCCCCCTCCTCCTCCTCCTCCTTCTCCTCCTCCTCCTCCTTCTCCTCCTCCTCCTCCTCATCCTCCTCCTCCTCCTCACTCCTTCTTTCCCTCCCTCTGTACTCCTTCAAGGCCCGAGCTTAGGCATTCTGTAGGCGCGAGGTTGCTGCAGTCTAGAAAAGTCTTCTTCCAAGGCCTTCAAGGATGCGGACTGGTATCTTCGTAATTCGGCGCGGCCCTCCCCCCGTCCTAGCGGCCTTGGATGCAATTCAGCCAGGTGGAGGCGGCGGCCGAAGCTGCAACGGCGCCGCGGCTGACAGAGATGCTTTGAGGGGAGGTTGGCAGCTACAGGGGGAATACCGAGGAGTGATGCTGGGATGGCGTGGTTGGTGGCGCGCCAAAGTGGTCCGCGGTCGTCCTGGACTATGTCCAGGGCGGCAAGCGCCGAGGTTTGCGCCCAGCCTCTCCCGTCCTATGAAATAGTAATCCCCGCCCCCCTACCTGTCCCACAAGAGTACAGGAGGTGGTGAGAGGGGGAGGGCGAATCAGGAGGGAGGGCTAGGTTGGTGAGGCGCCGCTTCAGAAGGGAAGCATCTTCTGGTGCCACTCGGCGTAATTACCTACCCATGTGTTGGAAGTATTCATTCCATACACAACATTGGTCGTTGACGTGGCCATGCGGCTACATTGACTTTAAGTTGGTGTGCAAGCATCGCTGCCGTCGTATACCTTGGAATGAGGAATCCACAGCTGCCACTCGCTGGAAATACCCACCTATCGGACGTATACATCGCATACCTACCGCTGGTCGTTAGGGTGGTCACCCCCCCATACCGCTGTCGTCAAAGCTGGGGAGAAGGAAGATACACAATTTGTCCAAGCTGTTGAAAAAATGCGGGTGGGTGTGACCCCAGCTGCCTGCAGTCTGGGTCTTCTAGGAGACGGCGCTGTAAAGCAAACGTAGAAGACCTTGACGCAAGTGGACAGGGCTCCCGCGTGGGATAGCACCCGCTGAGGGGCGGTTGAGGCGTGTCGTTCGCCTCCCTGCGTGTCAGAGATGTAGATGGCATGCAGGGACACCTCGGAAGGTTGGCCCGTACCACGGGCCCGCGCGCTGCACTCAGGGGAGTGGGGTCGGTGTGTGGCCGACGCCCCCCCCTGGCGGTGGGGAGCGGTGGGATGCGTCCCCAGCTGCCGTATCTTCGCGATCCTCCAGGTGAAGTCGGGCTCGTGAGCTTGGCTCCCTTCGGCTTCGGTCGTGAGCGGTGGCTCCGTGTGTCGGGCCGGGGGTATGTGTCTCCGCTGTGTCGTGGCCGGTTTTGTGATCATAGCCGTGGATATCGTCGTGGTTGGTTGAGATGTCGTCGTGTCCCTCCCTGACCATCGTTCCATCACTCCGACCAAGTCCACGACGATGACAGGGTAGCGATGGTCGTGGAGCGGGATGCTTAGGTCTGTGTCGCTAATGCTTAGGATCTACGTAGTAGCAAGGAATCACCCTTGCCGGCCTGCCTGCCTGTCTGCCTGTCTGCCTGTTCCTCCTCCTTCTTTTCCTCCTCCTCCGTTCTCCATCCACCTCATCCCTCCTACTCGTCCATCCTCCCCCTCCGTCTCCCCTCCTTCCTCCCTCCTCCTCCTCCTCCTTCTCCTCCCTCCCTTCCTCCCTCCCTCCCTCCCTCCTCCCTCCCTCCCTCCCTCCCTCCCTCCCTCCCTCCCTCCCTCCCTCCCTCCCTCCCTCCTCCCTCCCTCCTCCTCCTCCTCCTCCTCCTCCGCCTCCTCCTCCTCCTCCTCCTCCTCCTCCTCCTCCTCCTCCTCCTCCTCCTCCTCCTCCTCCTCCTCCTCCTCCTCCTCCTCCTCCTCCTCCTCCTCCCCCTCCTCTCCTCCCCCTCCCTCCTCCCTCCTCCGATGTCTCTGTCAAGTGCGACTTCTGCCACCTACCCTGCCGTCCCTGAGGCTGCACGGCGTGCCATTCGAGATGACCTAACGAGAGCGGCCAGAGGAGGTGCCTCGCTTCGATTTTTCTGACAGGAGCGGCTTGGCGTGCCCTTCGAGGTGGCCCAGCGCGAGCCGCTAGAGGATGGGCGCATGCCTGGTCGTTTGCGCTGCTGACTCTCCGTGCCCGTCGCCTCCCGCCTAGGGCATGCAGACCGCCCCACCTGCCCTGCGTAGTGGGCCCCGCCGCACGGCAACCCCCGAAGGTTGGATGCGGGGTGGGGTGGGGGGTGGGCAGGGGGCCGACCTTGCCGCCGTCACCAGCCTGGGGCTTGCGGGCTGCCCCATTTGCCTAGCCCGCCCGGCCCGCTCTGCTGCCCCGCAACCGCTGCAGGTTGGGGGCTGGGGGGAGCGCGGGGGGGGCCAGGCCGGGGGACTGCCTTGCCGCCTCTTGCCCGCCTGGGGTTTGCGGGCCGCCCCGCCCGCCTTGCCCGCGCGGCCCGCCCCGCCGCCCCACAATCGCCGCAGGTCGGGGGCGGGGGGGGTGCAGGGGGGATAGGCTGGGGGTCTGCCTGGCCACCTCCACCCGCCTGGGCCAGGGTGGGCCACAAGGGGCAGTCCCTCGGGGCGCCCCTTCGGGGCGCCTCCCGCCGCCCTTGCTGCGCTGGCCCGCAGACCCTTCGGGGTGGAGGCGCTCGCAGCGGGGCGAACGCCCCGAGGGGGGCCGTCACCAACCACAGGCTCGAACCACAGGCTCCTCCTCCTCCCCTCCTCCTCCTCCTCCTCCTCCTCCTCCTCTCCTCCTCCTCCTCCTCCTCCTCCTCCTCCTCCTCCTCCTCCTCCCTCCTTCCTCCTCCTCCTCCTCCTCCTCCTCCTCCTCCTCCTCCTCCTCCTCCTCCCTCCCTCTTCCCGCTCCGTCGCCCCCGCAGGCGGCGACTCCCGGGACGCGCAGACCAGGCGCCGACGGGGC